TACTGGTAGTCACAAAAACAATAAAATGGAGAATATTTAGTCAAAGTTTGGAACTTTTCTCATGTCCTAAGTTTGCTTTCATGCCTTATTTCTAAAACGCTAAGCGAACTCGTGAAAATGATGGGATACAAATATATGAGATGTGTTCACCCTTTTTCGCTTAAAGTGATGAAAAAGCGGTAGTTGAATTTTCCCACAATGATATGAGTAACCATGACGTTTCTATTGTTTTCACATAGCCTTTCTACAGAAATGGTATTCGCATTCAGGCAGAATCTACCTCTCCTAAAATTGTCTCATTATCACCCCCATGCGGGATTAGAACAATGACACCGCAGCGTATAGTCACGACACGTTAACCACTACGCCCCAAAGTCATGAGTGCTCTTGGATCACAGGACAGATGTGAATTTAGAGGAAGGTCAATCATTTTTCCATAGCACATTCCCTTGTGGGATTGCCGAAGAAGCAAAATTATATTGACTACATAACAGATTTTTCGTTTTATAAGCAGGATTTCAATACTAACGAAAGATCAAAAATAAAAAGACAAATAATTTATGTATTATTTGGCAGTTCATCATTTCATATGAAAGTGCACGACGACTGAATCCCGTCATCTTCTGGTGAGACCAGCCTTCTTCATACACTTTTATAAGAAATTTACCTCAAGAGAGTCATTGAGGCCCAGTTACTCTTCGTATCTGTAATTTATGTCGTAGGTACTTTACTACATCACAATCTCACCACAAAATGTGATATGGAAAAATGCACATATTCCTTGTATCCTAGAAGCACTCGTGACAACGTGGCGTAGTGGGTAACGCATCGCGACTCGAGTCTTTCTGGGGAGTTGATGATTCCAGTTGAGGCGAGGTCGAAACTTCAGTTCACTCCAGCTTGTATGGGAATACCTTTGGGAAGCAAGGCAATGTGAAATTCAGTGGAAACATGAGGTGTACTCATAGCATTGTGGGAAAATTCAAATACCATCGCTTCATGATCGTAAACTGATTTGGGTGAACACATCTCACATATGTGATTTACTGGTACTTTGAAACTCTACTTACAAAAGGATAAAAATTGCTTTCAAAAA